CAAACCATTCTATGATTCTATGAAATATAATGGTAATGTAAGACAGGCTCCTGAAGCACATGAACACTGGTCTCTTGCAGTCTTGGACAACTTCTACAAAGGGATGAATGTGAAACCTGCGATTGTTTCAGGCCATCCCTGACTTAGAAAAGCCAGATAATGGGGGTGAATCTCCAGCTGGTGTGCTGCACACACTGTTGCTGTTTCACCCGCAGAAGAATGCTTTTGAAATTCATCTCCCAAGGAGAGTACTTCCACTGCTGCAGATGCTTCAGACATCTGGACTGAAACAAGGCAGACTCCTGGGCTTGCTGGGGAAAGCCAAAAGCCACGCAGCAGCTTTGGATACCTCAGCAATGCCTCTCAGTGAGTAGCCAAGTCGTAATTTTGTCAGTACTCCATGATGTAAGGCCAGCTCCCCCATGCCAAGGCTCCAGTGCTACTGACTATAGAGTCCACATGTGAACCAGAGGAAAACTTAAGTCAGGTACTGATCTTTTATCCAACCTTTACACTGAAGGACAGGTCAACCTGGTCATTTATTTCCTCAGAAAAAGGAATTTCTTTAAGACAGACACTAACAATGCCAACAGTAAGCATGCGGGTGATCTGGGGGTGGGCTAAGAGAAGATGAGTGTTCAAATCCCTGACTACAATTAAAACCTCAGCTATGACTGGTGAGTAAAAACATCAGTAGATATTTCCCCCTTGTGGTAAAATTTTGTTCATGAAAGACAATATGTTCTTATTTTCTTTTCTAGATGGGAGAGATGGAATTCATTAGTATAACAAGCCTACAAACACAGCCTGAGATCACACTTAGATCAACTGTTATTGATAACTTTCTCTTCTCTTTGCCATGCCTTGTTTGTAACTGGAACCAAAACCAGACACACAAAATTAACTCTTTGTTGCTGTGGGTGGGGAAGGGAGAGGTAAAAAGGAAAACTCAACTAAAATTATCTGTTTACTCATAGAAATAGAACTACAGATCCTCTGCCTCAGAGAAGTTTAACTGAAATCGTTGCTAATTTTCTCCAGTTTTCACTTTCTTAACATGAACCATTTGCTTCACTTGCAGTTTCTGCACCACATACATTCACCAGCTGCAGCTTCCTTCTTTCATTCCTGTATCTCAAACATATTTTTCACATACCCCCTCTAAAGAGATGAGGGCAATATTGTTTTGAAACTGACTGGAACTCTAACATTTGCTCATTTGTATTAAAAAACCAGGGAACAAATATAGTTGGAATTAAAAAAGAAAAATCATTGATCTCACATCAGAAACAGTTCCAAAGGGTTAAAATCCATCTAGTTAGTACGTTTAGAAAAAAAACAACACACTCAAATTTGTAGACAGACCGAGCTCATGACAGAGTTACATCCAAGAACAGTCCCCTGAGTAAAGGAAATGCAAGCACATTTCATTGACAGCAGACAGGATTATAGACTGTGTTTTGACAGAAGAGGGTAACCACCCATAATAATCAATGAATCCTGAATTCTGCAAGGTGCATAAAAGAAATATTCCAGTTGTGTCCAGCAGACTTAAGCGTTTCTGTATATCTTCCCTTCTCTAGGATATGCCTTACCCGCCCACAGAGAGAGCATTGTAGGCAGTCCATGACACTATTTGCACGACCTTGGGTATCTTCTGTGGGTTTCACCAACGCAGAGTGCTCCTGGCTCATACAGGGTGACAAATAGCTGAAAAGTATGTAACTCACAACTTACTGTATGTGCTTTCTTTTATTGCAAATTCTTTTAGGCAAGACCCACAGTCACTGGGTAGACGCAAAGAGATGACTTTCTTCTGTAATCTTGCAGATTTCCTAACCAGGAATATCTGTTGTGGAGAAGGAAAAAGGACAAGGTTTTAGCTTCACTACAGATGCCTTAATAGAGACAGATTATAGACAAAAGGAACCAGAACAACTTCATGAACCCTGATCTACACAAAATGTCTCAGAATGTTACTTTGTTTTTACTGTTCAGGTCCAACAGCTTGGTGTAAAATGGCAGCAGAACATTTAGAAAAGTCTCTCCTCCTTGTATGACACAGACACATGACACCAAGTCCATTATGCCCTTCTCTGAGCTCTCCAGTTTAACATGCAGCAAATGCCAAGCCTTGAAACAAGCTGCAGACTCTGGAGGAGACTGACGTGGAGTGCTCCTATGTCCCACCAGCCCATTCCTGCAATCCTTCTGCACCAGGATGGAGGCACCATTAGAAACATGCCATCGGCCTCATCCAAGCAGACAGGGCCTGTTTTCCATCATAGCAACTTTAATGCAGGCACCAGTGAACGACAAAATGTTGATGTTTCCCATGTATTGCTTTCTCATTATAGGGGAATTACATCTGTTACATACAGTCCTGGTTAGCAAGGCCCAGTTTTGGTGTTGTAATTGCAGCAGTCTAGTTCTCAGCTCCAGAAGACCCCAAACTGGTCCCCCAACCTATCAGCCCAGGTAATAGGTCACACTCCAATGGGTCCAGCTGCCAAGCGCTCAGGAAGCCCTCACTGGGATTATCCAAAGCACAGAAGAAATTGTGGTGGGATGTTGGATGGGTGGTTTGTTTGGATTTTTGTTTGTTTGTTTTCCAAAGAAATTGAAGTGTAACTTCTTACCCCAGGAGGCTGGGCCTGCAGAATTTCCATGGCTTCGGCATCATTCAGACCAAGCTGCAGCCACACAGGGTGAGTATGGAGGAGCTTGTCCAATATGCTTAGCTTGTTGGATAGGCTGTCATATCCAGCATCCCGGGGGCAGCTTTTTACATCATTTTTCTCAGGAGAGGCATTGTCCATGTCCTTTACTAGGCTGAAAAATTAAAAAAAAAATAAAATTTAAATTAGACACACTAATCTCCTATAAACAATCACTCAGGCTCAGCAAATACACTTATCACAAAGCTAATGGCACTGCTGGCACCCTGGACTGGTATTTCTCCTACTGAGAATTCGTGTAATTAGTATACACAAAAATTCTCTTATGGATAAGATTTCGTTCTTTCACTTGTCCTCAGTTTAACAGCTAGCTTTAAGATAAGCCTTAGCATTCTTCTAATAGCTTGTTGAAATTTGGCAATCACTTCAGATACAGGTGTGTATGCATACATGAATGACCAAACATTTCACCTCCTTTGTTATGTTTAGATTTGGAAAAATGTCTCTTCAAAGGTATTTATGCAATTCAGATATTTTTATTCCCAGATAGACTGCAAAAGCTGCAACCCACAGAAATCTTCCTCTGTCCTTCCTGCCAGAAAAATCTGTTCAAATACTCTGACAATGGAGCAACCCACTGCCTGTTAGTGATCGCTGCACCAAACACAAGCACTTTCTTTATTTGCTTGTAGGGATTCTTTTCTCAACAGAAGCCTACAAACTAGCATCACATCACTTCATCTTATTCCCAGACTACTGGGTCTTCTCCACCAGTCCCTATTTTTGTCCCCCTCTGCTAACAAGTAGTCAAGACTTTAGTCAGGAGAAAAGAAAAAGGAGAAAGAAAAGAACAAAAAAAAAAAAAAAAAAAAGAAGAGGAAAAAAAAAGGTTAAATATCCCCCAAATAACCCTCCCTAAGGTACAGCTTCATTAAGAAATCATCCCAAGTGGTAGTAATCTCTTATGGTCCATGCTCTAAATTCTCTAAAATATTTACATTTTTGCCATTTTGCCATGAAAGGTCCTTACCTCACATTTTAGTACTACACTTCCCAGGATCAGAAGTAAGGAATTGTATATTTATGCTCCTAATTCCTTTGGCTCTGGATCAACTCCTATGTGAGGAATAAAGTCTAAGCTAACTGTGAATGTGGCAAACTAATGTAAGGTTAAAATTTATTTGGGGTAGTGCACCTAAAGTTACTGCTAAATTCAGTAACGAAGTACAGTTATGCATTAAAAATCCAAATAAACAGAATACATTGAGAACTCCTTTTGTTATGTAAAGTTTTGCCATCATTCATATAATACAGAACACCCAGTACGATTGCACGTGTTTTGCTGGTTCAGACTCCTCATTTTTGAGCTAGAAATACATCCTGTGATTCTTCCAGTGCTAGAAATCACTACAGAACAGTTACTGTGGTAACAGCTTCCTGATGGCAATATTTGAGCATAAACAAAAAACACCCTGAAAGCTCAAGATCTGACTCGTAAGATGTCAGGCACCAAGGCTGCGTTCATCCTACAGACTTTTTCTGATGGCAGAAGAGGCTCTGAGTGGCAGAGGACAACACACATGCACTTCCCCACAGCAAACTGTCTCGCAGCTCTTCTGAACTTTGTGTTTTGGACAGGCAACAAGCATCATTAACAGCGTTTACCACCTTCATTATGCTAGCTACTGTACCCAGAGCAAGTGGGTAGAGACTTCACAAGTGCAGGAGCACTAAATACTTAAAAACCAAACAAAAATCCACCACCCTGCACCCCCACAAAAAAAAGAAAAAATCCAGCTCTAAAACAAAACCAACCAACCAACCAAATTGCTTTTTTCTAGCTTTGGTCAGCAACTTGCAGCATCTCTGGACAGGGCTAGAAAGGAAAGTAAATGGGGTAGAGAACTTTCACTGTGTGACCAGTGTGTTCCTCAGGGCTCAGTGTTGGGGCCGGTGCAGTTTAACATCTCCATTGATGATTTGGACGAGGGGATCGAGTGCCCCCTCAGTCAGTTTGCAGACAACACCAAGCTGGGTGGGAGCGTTGATCTGCTGGAGGACAGGAAGGCTCTACAGAGGGGTCTGGACAGGCTGGATCGATGGGCCGAGGCCAACTGTATGAGATTCAACAAGACCAAGTGCCAGGTCCTGCACTTCGGTCACAATAACCCCATGCAACGCTACAGGCTTCGGGACGAGTGGCTGGAAAGTTGCCCGGCAGAAAAAGACCTGGGGGTGTTGGTCAACAGCCGGCTGAA